TCCAGTGTATGTGGTTAGGTTATATAAGACTCAGTGCTGATTTTGCTAGAGGCTCTTTCTCCCTTGCTGGCTTTGAAGAAGGAGGCAGCCATACTATATCCTATGAAAATGGCCAGGTGCCAGAAACATGAATGTAGTCTCTGGCCAACAGCCAGTGTGAAACTGAGGTCCTTGGTCTGACACCCCGAAGGAACTGAATGATGCTAGAAAGCCAAGTGAGTTTGCAAGCCAATTTTCCCTCAGTTGAGCCTCAGATGAGACCAGACTCCTGTGACACTTTGATTGCAATCTTGCAAAGGACCCAGCTAAGCTGTGCTCCGACTCCCAGCCTATAGAAACTGAGAAAATAAATGTTTTAAGCTACTACATTTGTGGAATGCTGCTATGGAGCAACAACTAACTAATATATTGGGAGAAAAATAATAACTGTGGCCTATAAGCTGAACAATTCCTACAGCTCACACCAGGCTAGAAACTATTTGAGTTTCTAGCTAGAAAGCAGAGGTCCCATTATATGTTCATGACGTCCAGTGGAGAACCCAGAAAGGTCATAACTGAGAAGCACAGCAGAATCAGCCCTAGCAAAAGGGCTACTTTAAGCCTGGAAGGAGTTTAAAATGGATCTTAGTAATGTTTAAGTAACTTACTTAATTGACTGTCAGAGAATGTCCAAGGAATTTAAAGGAACACAATTAAGCAAAACACCATCAAATAATTCATGATGTCCATTATCCAATTTTTAAAAATTAACAGACATATAAAGAATCAAGAAAACATAACCCATTACCAGGAGACAAACCAGTCAAGAGAAACAAACTCATAAATAACAATTCCATCAAAAGGATGAAACTAGCAGAATATGATCTTAAAAAGGCTATTAAAAATATGTTCAAAGATGTAAGGATGCATTAATATAATGAGGAGAGGAATGGAATGTATAAGACATAAGAAAGTGGAAATGCTAGAAATGAAAAATATAATATCCAAAAAGGAATAGATGAGATTATCAACAGAAGAAAATATTAATAAACTTAATGATACAGCAGTAGATAATATCCAGATTGCAGCACACAGAGGGAAAAAAATGAAAAAAAAAAATCAGATATCAAGTGTGTGTATTGAGAAAAAGGAGCCAGAGGAAAGGCAGAATAATGACTGAAAAATTTCAAAGGGTGAAATGGGACACATAGAGTTACAAGAAACTCAATGAATCAGAAGCAGGATAAACACATATACACATGAAACATATGCATCATAATCACATTACTAGAAACTAGTGATCTAAAATGTAACAAGAGGGGAGAAAAAGACACAGTATGTAAACAGCAACAAACCTAAGAATAACAGGTTTCCTATCATAAGCAATGCAAACCAGAGCCCATGGAACAACGTTTTTAAAGTGCCAGACTAGATTTATATATCCAATGAGAATGTCCTTTTAAAAAGGCAAAACAAGAAGAAAAAAAAAAGAGTGAGAGAAAAAGGAAAACCAAATTTTTTTCAGACAAAATCTGAGAGGATTCATCACTAGATTTTTGTGGTTCTTCCTATGCTGAGTACTTTTGGATTGTATCCTCTACATTTTGAATACTAACTAATCTACAAGACTCTGAGTCTTATTTAAATCCTACAGAGACTTATTTTCAGTTTAGAGGCAATTTCTCTATTTAGGCTTCCCTGATCGCTCAGTGGGTAAAGAATCTTCCTGTAATGCAGGAGTCATAGGAGACACAGGTTCGATCCCTGGGTTGGGAAGAACCCCTGGAGAAGGAAATGGCAACCCACGCTAGTATTCTTGCCTGGAAAATCCCATGGACCGACGAGTCTGGTAGGCTATAGTCCATGGGGTTGCAGAGTCAGACACAACTGAGTGACTAACACTTTCCCTTTCTCTGTTGAGATTCAGGCTGCAAGTTTTCACATTCTGTGAAACGTGGTTCCACTGTCTGTTCAGCTCTCCTAGCCTCTGCAGTACCTTCTGGGACCTGTCCCACAGTCCATCACTCAGAAGTCGGTCTGGGACTTAGATTCAGGTCTACCCACTAGCTCAGTTTTCAAAGTTTTTGGTATGAAAGTTAGAATCAGATCCCGCATCTGTAGGTCAGGGGTGAACTCAGGAGATCGTAAGCAACTTTATAGGGTCACTTCCCCAAACTGCTCCCTGTCTGTGGTCTCATTTTTCTTGGGGGCTTCCCTTTTTGGTCTTCTATATGGAAAACAACCAGTACTTCCTTGATTGTGCTGCATCTGGGGTCAAGTAGTAGGAGAAGTGAGAAAGATGGGGAAAAAAATGAAAGGGTTTGGCCCTAACTCTGAAACTACAGCTTCAGGGAACAGAGCTGAGTTTCTCCTCCCTCAGAATTGTGTGGCTTCCTATGCTTCCACGGCTGCTGTCTTCTCTGCTGCCACCCCCACAGGAATGCTGGTAAACTGGGGTAAAAGAGGACAAAGAAAAGGAACAAAAGGGAGGGTTTCTACACTCTCTGAGCAAGATGCATTCCCTTTCCTGCTTCTGGAGCCAGAACTAGCGGATGTCTCCCAGGGTCTTCTGACTATTATGCCTAAGTTTCCAGCTACATTAAAGTCAGGCTGGGGGATACCAGAGAAGAGTGTGTTTGTGGCAGTCACTCAGTTGTGTCCGATTCTGAGACTCCATGGACTGTAGCCCACCAGGCTCCTCTGTTCAAGGGATTCTCCAGGCAAGAGTACTGGAATGGGTTGCCATTTCCTTCTCCAACCAGAGAAGTATAACAGTGCTTAACTTGCCACTTGTTCAGTATTTCAAACCATGAAGTTCTTCCTTACATTGCTGCTGGTGTTTACTTTTCAGGTTCCTCAAATACCTGATCCACATATTTTTCCAGCTTTGTAGTTACATTCAGTGGGAGAGAAAGAGTGGAGGGTGTTTACCCCACCTTACCCATACCTGGTCAGTTGGCTTTGGACAAAGTTGCCATGGTAAGTCCATGGAAAAAGAGATAATCTTTTCAACAAACGATTCTGAAATAACTAAAGATCTGTATTAAAAATAACAACAACAAATTTTGATGCTTACTTCTCATTTCATCAAAATTTACTTGAAATGTATCAAATAAATAAATATAAAAGCAAAACTAGAAAATGTCTAGAAATCTTTGTGACTTTGGTTTAGCAGATGTTTTAGAACACATAAAGTGCAACCCATAAAAATTTATAAACTAGAATTTATAGGAAACAAAATTCTCTTCAAGAGAAACTGAATAAAATGAGAATCAATCCACCATCAAGGAGAAAGTACTGGCAACACATATGAGTGACAAAGTACTTTTCTCCAGAATACATGAAAAATAATTATAACTGCATTAAGTAGACAAATGAAAAAACATGCAAATATTTGAACAGATAATTCACAACAGATAATACAAAGATAGCCAATAAACTCATAAAAGTGCTCAACATGATTCGTCATCAGAAGAACACAAGTAGACTGGCTAAAATAAAAACACCTTACAACATCCAATTCTGGCGGGGATGTACAGCAGCTAGAACTCTAACATAGTTGATGGGTTTGTAAAATGATATAACCACTCTGGAGAACTCTGTTGGGTAGTTTCTTATAGAGTTATACAGATTTACTAGTTCTCATAGCAATTCCACTTCTAGGCATTTACCAAAACGAAGTAAAAACATGTTTCTCCACAAAGCAAACATTTGTAGCAATTTCATTTATGATAGAAATAAACCTGAAAACAACTCAAAGCTCATCAATGTGAACAGATAAGCCAATTTTGGTATAGATATACCATAGAATACTATTCAGCAATGAAAAGAATTTACCTAGTGATAAATGAAACAATAGAGCTGAATGTCAAAAACATCATGCTAAGTGGAAGAAGCCACTCACAAAAGACTATGTATTATATGATTCCAAATACTAACTGATTCTGTGTTTAAGAATGCTCAATATTATCACATAATAATTCTCCCCAAATTCAAAGAAAATTCAATCAAAACCTCAGCAGAGTACATTATGAAAAAGGACAATCTGATCTTGAAATTCATAGAAGAGGATAGGAAAGTTCACTTCAGGACTTATTGCAATGGTATTGTCACTCAGACAAAACAGAACAGAATCAAAAACCCAGAAACAAATTTATGGACATAAGAGAACCTACAATATGATAGAGATAACTCTAAAAATTAAAGGGGAAATAAAAATCAATCAATAAACTGTTCTGGAACAATGGGAACTCTATATGGAAAAAATATATAAAATTAGAATTTACTTTAAAGGAACACATAAGGTGCACACATGTGTGCACACACACACACACACGCAATCCAAGATGAAATAATTTTTTTTGGTAACAAAGCAAATTTGAAAAATGTCTAGAAGAAAGCTTAAGAAAATATCTCTATGACCTCAAAGATGGGAATGACTGGCAAAAGTTGTATAAACCCTAAAGGAAAAGAATAATAACAATGACTACATTAAAATTAACTTTTCTCAACTACAAAAGATATTACAAGGGAATATTTAAGGACAATATGTCCAGAGCTTAGAGCATGACAATATTTGGAAAAAGTAGAAGAGAAATAAGCCAATTTTCCTGCCAGATTCTTATCTCCTTTGCAGAACATATTTCTGAACTTCCTATGGAATAATGAAAAAGATCACTTCAATCAGAACAGTTTCAACTGAGTATAAACTCAGTTGAGTATAAACTCAGTATATACTCAGATGAATATAAACTCATCTAGTAATTGGGTTGTATTTGTCCCTTCTGTCACTTTTACCTCCTTCTACCTTGTTATCATCTGCTGCCTTCCTTTTTCTTCCAAGTCTGCATGATTTCCTTATGTTCCTCCTGCCTGTTCCATAGCTAACCTGAAATATCCTGCTTGGTAAACTAATTTAGTCAAAATGAAGGAAATTATTTTATAGAATTTTTACACTGAAGGCTTCTCTGCATAGGTAGCAGTGGTATGACTCTGAAAATACACACTTCTCCATCTCTTACCTGCACAAATCTTCTGACATCTTCCTTAGTCATATTGGAACGATTTTTTAGAAAATCAGCCTTTGCCTTAACTGCCAAATGCCGCTGCTGTACCTCAAAGTCTCTCTCCAAGGCTCCAAATATTAATGCCCCAAACATGATGTATGATATATAGACAAGCAGGACGACGCCCTTCTGGACTTTGGTGCCTGTCTCATCTTTATATAGTGGAACCAAAGAGAAATCAGAAGACTGTAATGTAGATTATAATGTCCTTTCAAAAGAAACCCAATACAGCACAGCAACCCACAATTCCAAGATACAGGATATGAACTTTCCCTTTTTTCTTAACCTACCTTTAAACAACAAACTATACAATTTCCTAAATAGTCAGAGAAGTAGAAAAATAATTCCACTTCTCTCCTAACTATAAACTTACTTATTATTATTATTATTTTTTTAAGAGAATTGTGCTATTTGGGGAGATAGGGAAATGTTGGCAAGGGCAAAGTTAGCCAAACAATTTAGCCGTTTACTCAATTTTCTTAGTGCAAATTTTATTGCTGAATTACACTTTGGAGTACCTTTAGTGAATATTTTTAAAAGAGTACAATGTTAACACTTTAACCAGCTGATAAAAACGAGTTAATTAGACCATTTACACCCTCCAGTTACCAGCGGTATGAATTTAGGCCAGTCAGGTGTCTGGCTGTGTTTCAGATTCTTCATCTACCTTTTATAAAATGAAGATAATAAGAGTTACTTGATAAGGTTGTTACAAAGATTAAATGAGTAATATATTGAAATACTTAGAGTGAGGCCCAGCAAACAGGAAATGCCCCCAAAAATCCTGCTGCTAAGTCGCTTTAGTTGTGTCCAACTCTGTGCGATGCCATGGACAGCAGCCCACCAGGCCCCACCGTCCCTGGGATTCTCCAGGCAAGAACATTGGAGTGGGTTGCCACTGCCTTCTCCAATGCATGAAAGTGAAAAGTGAAAGTGAAGTCGCTCAGTCGTGTCCGACTCTGTGCGACCCCATGGACTGCAGCCCACCAGGCTCCTCCGTCCATGGGATTTTCCAGGCAAGAGAACTGGAGTGGGGTGCCATTGCCTTCTCCGCCAACAAATCCTAGCCAGTAGTCAAAGAAGCAGTCTGTTTGCAGCAGTAGTAGTAATCACAGTAGTAGTACACGGTGGAGGAGGAGCAACTCTTCTCTCTCCCTGTTCCTCTCTGCCTTTGTTCAATAAGCATGGGGCAGAAACAAAGAACATGCCAGCTGGCATGATGCAAGAGACTCTTAGCTGGATGATGTCAGATTCTGATAAAGGTGAAGTCCTGTGTGTTTCATGGGACTCTGGGACAATGCTTGAAGAAGGCATCTAACTAAGGTGGCAGCACTCTCCACTTGAACCTGCCTTCTCACAGCCTCTTCCACGTTAGGGGACAAGGCAAATCTCTGTAGCACAGACCCTCATCACTTGGGTGAACTTTCCCAATGGGATATAAAAAAATGAAAGCACATGGTTATAGGTTTTGTATGTAACATTCTGAACTATAAGAAACAGTTACAAGAACAAGCACATTTTAAAGCCAACAGGGTTAAAGTATCCAAAATCCACTTTAATGAAATACTATACAATTAAATGTCATAGTCACAGTTGGTAATGTACATTTCCAGTGTTAAATTATAAATTTAATCATACTACATGTAAATAATTCAGAATAATAATAAAACAGTACAGTCCCACCTAAGGAACCATTTTACTTTGAATTTGTAGCAGGATAACAATATGCTTTTATTATCTTCTATTTCCATGTTTAAACTAGCAATAAATATCATAACTTAAAAAAAAAAGATATCTGAGCTAAACCTCCATAGAGTCTTTCTAAGGTTTCCCTGGCTTCAATAAAACACTGAATAGGGAGCAATCAAACCATTATATTGTATGCCTAAAAACAATACAATGTTCTATGTCAATTATATCTTAATTAAAAATACTTTCAGCAACCATTTGTTAGTTGGGCAGTAAAAACATATCTGATCTGGTCACATTTTACAAAAAGGTCTTCTTTGACATGTTGGGATAAGACGTTACACTTGGAAGATTTTAAATTTCTCACAAACACATCAACATTTGGGGGTACACTTTGCAGTCATACCACCAAGCCAAGACTGCTCTTCACCACCGCTGTCACCACAGACCAGACCCCACTCAAGGAAGCCATTTGGAAGCAATCCTACCTCTTAAACAAAGGCCTGGGAAATCAAGACTGTAGGAGAGTTGACTGGAAAGGGACATTTTGAGCCTGTCTAAATGATCTCATCACCACCCCAAGTTCCATCCGGAACCTTGGGGGTGGCTAGTTCTACACCCAATTATCTCCACATTATTACCACATCTCTCAGTGCGTATGACTCAGTCATTCTGCACCCAAACCCGTCCAGCCTTTCTGCTACCTTTCTGCCGTGATACCCTTCAGTTCCACCTTTCTGTTGTATCAGTCTCCTGCTGATCCCTTTCCTGGCAATGACGTGACTCCCAGCCTGTGGTCAGTGGGCCTCTTTATGTTTGCTGTTTCAGTTCATCTGCCCCTTCAGTTTACTTGCCCCTTCAGCTCTTGTCCCTTCTGACTCATGCTCAATACTACATAAGGCCTCTATGACTTATCTATGTTCTTCCTACACTTCTCCACTTGCCAAAATGCTCCTCAGCCTTCCAGACTCGATACCTGACATCAACTGTGAGTCCCTCTCTGGTCCTCTCTAATCAGAAACATGACTGACAGCAAAGAACATTTCTAGCCACATCTTAAATAGAAGATCTCTGTTGTTAATTCAGTTGCAGTATTTATTTGTACTATATTCAAGCACAATCCCCTAGGGAGATATAAACAGACTCTATGTTATTTGAGTTGTTATACCTCCTTTGAACACCTAACAAGGTTTTACCTTCTCAATAAATGCTTCTTGGATGCAACTGAATAATTTCCATGTAACTTGTATTGTTGACAAACTATATTTTCCCCTCTAGACTATAATGTCCAGAGATAATAAAATCTCCTACAAAAATCATAGGTTTCAGAGTTCTGTTGCATTGGTTTTGAGTCCTGGATCAGACACTATCTAATTTGTGACCTTGGATAGCTAACCTCTGTGAATTTTTTTTCTTATTTGTAATGTAGATTTCATCATCTCCTAGAATTGTTATCATTTTGGATTTGAGTTCCTGTGTAGATTGTCTGACACCAGATGAATTCTCAATAAACAGTTATAACTTTTACAACTAGTTGTAATCATTGTCTTTAGGCTGAAAGAATCTTCATGGCATATTTTATGGTGACTTCTCTCTAGTGTTCCTTTTTAAAAAAATGTTTGTTGAATGAATGGAAAATGTGGCAATGAGATGAACAAATGGAAACTTGGCAAGAAGAAATTCCTGGGAATTAGTCTGTGAGAAGCATGAATGGGTCATTTCCTCTTCTCCTCAATCCCAAGGAACCAAATGGGATTCTTCCTTGGCCACCATGAACTAGGAATGAGAAAGCTATTTTGAGTGTATCAACCAAGAATGTGGCCCCCCAAAATTGAAGGAAACATTGGCGCTGTCCCAGGTTGTTGTGAATGTGAGTGACTCTACACTTGGACCACCCCGAGGGCTGTCCCACATTGTAGAAGGAGGCCACAGTGTCCTAGGGCCACATGACCGACCCTGGTGGAGCAGAGCAGTTCAGCGTTTGTTGAGTTGGAGTGTAACTCGCATTGCAGTACCAGACTACCTGAGCTAAGATGTGTCAGTCTGTTGCACAAGGAGATTCCCAGATGCCCTGGATGCTAAGCAGCAAGTTGGAACACTAGGAAAGGATAATAACAAGGTTATGCTTTTTACTCCAAAATAGCAGCAAGGAGAGGAAGAAAAGGAAGAAGAAGAGGGGAAGATGGAGGGAGAAGAGAAGGAAGCTTTGTTAGGTGCTTCTTATGTACCAGCTACTGTCCTAAACACTTAATCATGAGAGAACCACTCTGAGTTGATCCTACAAAGCAATTATTTTTTTTAATTCTTCTCTTCTACAGATGAAGAAACTCAGGCCTAGATAAATTTTAAAAATTGTCCAAGATCACAGAACTATTGTGACCTCAATAAGCTGAGATTCAAACCCGTGTCTAATTAGCCCCAAACTTATTCATGCTCTTCCCTGCTATTCATTAATTTTAAAAAATATTAATTTAGCACTTATTTATTATATGTTAAAAACTGATATATCATTGTAGACATAACAGTGGACAAAATATACAAAAATTCTTGCTCTCATAGAGCTTACTTTCTAGTGGAGAATTCAAATAATAAACAAATGAGCAAGATAAAGAATGTTAGGGGATGGTGAATGCTCTGGAAGAGAGTAGAACCAAGAAGGGAAATGGGGCTGCAATTTTAAATGGAGCAATTAGAGAATACCTCATTGACAAGATAAAAGTTGGGCCAAGACATAAAGGATTAAGGAGGGAGCTATGGGAAATCCAGGGGTAAGTTTTCCAGGCAGAGACAATGGCAAATGCAAAGGCCCTGAGGCTGAAATAATTTTAATTCGCTTTAACCTATGTGAGGAATAAGGGAGTTAGAGCAGTTGAACCAGTTTTACTGGTGGAAGAGTGGGATGCCTAAAAATCAGGGTCCCACTGAAGCAGAGACAGCATGGACGCTGTGGATTAAAAATATCATGTGGAGCATACAGGATCTGCAGAGGAAATTCATAACAGAAATAAATGCACAGAGAATGTGTGCTATTTACCTCCAAAGAGTGAACTGGGGGTAGGAGAAAAGGATATGGTAGAATTTATACTTTTCATTTAATACACTTCTCTACTTATTTTTAAACCAAGCATGCAATTCAATTTTAAAATCTAATTAAACAAGTTAATATTCTATAAATGTACTTAAGTATTAATACATGCACAAGAATGTTTATAGCTTTTCTGTTCCTAAACAAACAATAGGGAGCTGCTTTTAAATACTGGGCTATCTATATAAGGATATATAGAGATACTTATAGAGTAGATCTACATACTGACTTAGAAAGAGGTCTCAAATTTAGGACTCAAAGCACTGGAGTATGAAGTGTACCTTATGGGCATAATTGAATACATGTGCTCATTTACTTATACGCTGTTGTACAAAGTTCCTCTGAATAATTGTTTATACAGTAATAGCAAAAAAATGGAAACAATCTTTACAATTATGGGACCGAAAAAAATTATGGTGGATTCAAATGCTAAACTATTAATCATTTAAAATTATTACATATGTCTATATTTAGTATGAAAATACATGCTATGTATATTTAAAGTTAATCTTAAAAAGCAAGCTTTTAAAATTTAAATTGCAGATGTGGAATGATCTTTTTTTTTTTTTTTGGTAAAAGATACTAGAAAGTAATTCCATGAAAGGAGGGATTTATTGTTTTCAGTGCTTTATTTCCTGAAAAACACGTGGTTCCTAGGGCATGGCCCACACACCATTGATATCTGTTGAATATTAAAACAATGAATAAAAGTGTATGTCCACATGCAACAACACAAAACACAGAGGACCAATTACGTTAACAGAATTTATCTTTAGGCATACCATTTAAATGGTTTTTATTTTTCTTGATACTTATCTGTATTTCCTAGTTTTTAACAAAAATAATAGTTTCACTTAATGCTTATCTAAAGCATTAAAAGTTTCAGAACATTTCAAGGCTAAGAGTTCAGAAAATATCTATTTTCAGGAATGAGTATAACTAATCATTACCTAGCTGAGGACTCAGGGTTGAAGTGCAGGCAGTAGGGCCATCAGTTTTTACCGGGTGGAAACAGTAGTTCTTGCAGGAGGCTGATAAGGAGAGACTGAACAAATCAATGTGAACAGAGCAGTTTTAAATCTAAAGAGTTTGGAGAGGGCAGCTGCTGTATCCTAGAAGGTAATGATCCCTAATCATTAGGGAATTTGACTTGTACCAACTCATGATTTATTTTTGGGTTGCTCCTCTTGAGATTTGGGTAGCTGCCCTTGTGGACTACACAGTTCAGATTCCCCAGGAGTGTGTGTGATTTGCATATGATTCAGTCAATTATGCATTTTCTCTTGAAAATAGAGCCTTCATTAAAAGTAAGAACAAAATGTGGACTTCTAGCTCTGCCTGAGCAGGACTAAGAGAGAAGCTTTGCATTTCCACTGGGGCCAGGATGGAAGAACAACAGGAGTTGGGCCAAAGCTAGTTGGCAGTTTTTCTTTGATAGAAGGTTAAAAGGAAAAGTTTGGAGATGCCTATCTTCAGCATGAGACTATAGAGTCACCCTTTCTAACATTTTAGAATTATGTAAGAAATTTAAGATACTTATGGGCCTTCTATATCTACCATAACCTAAAGAGCTACAAATTAAAGTCATAGAAATAGAAACCCAAAGCTTTTTGAAGCTGTTTCTTGTACTTTTGTTTTTATCTCGTTTTAAGTATGTGCATTTAATTGAATTTATTATATCACTATATTTGATCTTTTTTCTTCTGTTACTTTCTTTTATTCCTTCCTCATATATATGCTGGTAGTGTTTATTTTTCCCTTTATCTTTTAGTGCCTTATTTACCTATTATACTTACTCTTTATACGATCTTATTTTTAAAAATATTTTACTCTATCATATCATCTTAACACATCCTCTTGGATAATTTTATTCTTCTACTTTGTAAAAAGCAATCACCACATCCCATTTTATCAGCATGCTATATGGTCACATTTCTCTTAAAAGTTTTCATTAAATCACGTGAATCTCACTTAGGCCTTCTCTCCAGTGCTACCCAAAGTGACAGGAACACTTTATCTCATCCAGGAGGTCAATTCCCCACCCTCACCCTGACTCACTGCTGTATTCACCCTGGGCACCCGCTGCCAATGTGGCTGGGATTCCCAGTTTAAATGTTACAGCTCTTTGAATACATACTTGTGTCACACGAAGTACCAGGTCAAGTTCTACTATTTAGTACATCATCCAGAAGCACTTGTGCAAACAGTATTCACTGCCTAACAAAGGCCATTCCCCTTTCCCCACTGTCTGGCTGTTATGCAGACCTGACTAATAAAGACAAGTGGGAAATATATCCAGAGTAAGAACTGCCTATGAGGGAACAACTTTTCATATATGGTGAATGTTATTAAGTCTACATGTGATTCCTGGAACTACTGCAGCCCTCATGAGACAATGAGGGGGGATATTGTCAACAAACTGAGAATATTTGTGAAGGGAAGATAGGAAAATACCAGAATT